GGTACTTATCCGCTGAATCGAGGGTGCTTTTGAGTGGAGAGAGACTTGAAGCAGGCAGAACACCAGCAGCTATTGAAATATTCCAAGTGTGAGGTGATGAGGGTCTGCACCAAGGTCGGGGCTATGTCAGAAGAGAGAAGGGGGCGTGAAGGTGAAATCAGCAGGCCCTGGCACTAGCTTGGATATGGGGGGGGGGGAAGATAGTGAGGAGTCCAGGATGACTTTCTAGGTTATGAGTCTGAGGACTAGGAGGATGGCGTCTTCTATACAGTAATAGGAAAGGTAGAAGGGGGGGAGTTTAGAGGGAAAGAGGAGTTCCACTTTGGGTATGTTGAGTTTCAGATTCTTGGGGAACATTCGGGTGGAAATGTCTAACAGGTGGTTGGAGATGGCAAGACTGGAGCTCAGGAGAGAAATGAGAGCTGCGTTTGTAGATTTGAAAGGGAATATATCAATCCAACTTGATTCTGTGAAATACTAAAGAGAGTGATGTTTTTAATTTCAAAAGGGATGTGGTACTAGAAAGAGATGGAGTCTGTTCATGTAGGTTTAGGACTCGGGAGCTCTCCACACAGGATAAGGGTTGAAGCCACGGGTGCCAAAGAGCCCATGAGACAGAGCGTGGAAAGAAAAGAGGAGCGTGCCCAAGTTGGAGCATGCGGGGGATGAGACCTGGGTGGTGATTGTGTGTGGGCATCTGAGAAGCAAAAAGATGGTTACGATAGAGGAGTTGTATAGACACTCCAGGTGGGAGCACCGAGGAGAGTGAGGAGGGTGTGGGCAGCAGTGTTAGACCCTGCAGAGTAAGCACGCAGAAGGAGGCAGGAAAAGGGCCACCGGCTTTAGTTCTGATGACAGTTGCTCACATAAGGCTTGCCAAGTGCTTTACATATGTTATCTCATAAAGGGGTTGATCTGGCCTTGGAGAGAGCAGTTTCAGTCAGGTGGACAAAGAGAAGCCAGATTAGCAAGAGATTACAAAATGAAGGGCAGGTGAGAAGGTGAAGGCAGTGTGTGTGTAGGTGTCTTTCTTTAGTACATCGTGGAAGAAAGGAGAGGTATTGGGGGCAGTTTGACGGGATGGTCGGGTTAGATGGGGACTTTTTTTAAGGATGGGGAGATCTGGGCACGTTTGAAGGCAATAGAAAGAATGTATAAGGAGAGAGAGAAAAGAGATGAGCAAAGGGGCAAGCTTACAGATGAGATGGGAGGGGAAGGAATGGAGTCAAAGACATGAACAGAGGATTTGGCGGAGAAGATTCTCCTCCTGTTTTGAGACTAGAGCAAAGGAAGCGAGGATAGAAGATGATGCTGTGCTGATTGGACGTGTGGCATTGGAGAAAAGAAGGAGCTCGTAATGGAGGGCCTAAACTTTTTCTGTACCTTTTTTTTTTTGTTTTTTTAGGCAATTGGTGTTAAGTGACTTGCCCAAGGCCACACAGCTAGTGCGTGTCAAGTGTTTGGTCTGAGGCCGGATTTGAACTCAGGTCCTCCTGACTTCAGGGCCAGTGCTGTTTCCACTGCGCCACCTAGCTGCCCCTGGGCCTAAACTTTTTCAGGGAAGTGTGAGGTCCTCTGCTGAGGGTGGGAGGTGTTGGTGTGGATGGCTTGAGAAGCAGGACTGAGCAGTTGCTGTGAAGAGTGCAGTCGGGAGTCCCTTAGGGGGACCTGGAAAAGGCTGTCATTGGGAGCCCATTGTGATTAAATAGTGTGCAGTTGTAGCAGATCCCTTTGGCTGTGCTTTGTGACTTCCTCCAGGACTGCTCAAGCAGCACAGGAATGGAGCTGAAAAGGCCGACTGGAATCTTGGTTCTGCAAGCTACTAGCTCTGTGACCTTGAGCAAGTCACTTCTCTCAGAGCCTCAGTTTCCTAATCTGTAAAATGGAGAAGAATTCTTATGCATTTCTTATCTCTAAGACTGTAAAGATCAAATTGCTTTTTATTTGCTGGCTTGTGTACATGTTATTTCCTTGGAGTGGAATGGAAGCTCCCCGAGGGCAGGAGCTGTTTCATTTTTGAGTTCATCTCACCAGTGTCTGACACAGTGCCCGGCACATGACGTGATGAATTGAGCCAAAACAAGATTGTGGCTCCAGGATGGTTCGGATACAAACAGCTTGCGCAGAAGAGTGCGCGGTTGTTGTTTGTTTTTCATGTGCTGGGCGGCACGGCGCCGTTCCAAGCAGGGTAATGAGTGACATGCTGAAAGCAGTGTTGGAAGATGACACTGTCAGTGACACGGGATGGATCCTCGCGGGCTGGGGGAGGAGAGACGTTAAAAAAGCGAGGATGCCAGGGAGGAAGCTCTCACAGTAAGGGAGTCATGGGGCTTTTCTTGAAGTGGAAATTAAAAACCTGAATGCAGTTGGAACCAGCGGAGGTTAGGGACATTATGGAACTCTCCTGTGTGCTTCTTCTTACCTTGGTTAATTTACAGTTCTGAGTAAAGAGGGGGCTGCCCTTAGGAATGATGGACTGCTGCCAGACGGATCGTGGAGCCACCGATGCCAGGCACCATCCAGGGTTCTTCAGTCATGGCTGGTGTGTATAATAGGCAGAGTCCTAGGCTTCAGGTCAGATATAACTAGCTGTGTGACCCAAGGGACATCACTTACCTTCTTTCAGTCCCCATTTCCTCATCTGTGAAATGGGCATGATAACAACATAGGGCTACCGTGGGGATCAGATGAAATAACGTCTGGTGGATGGAACACCATCGTATCTGAGCCTTAGGAGAGTGTTCATGGTCAGCTCCTGTGGAGGTGGATGGGTCAGATGAGTCCTAGGAGTTGCTTGAAGCAAAGGTTAAGTGACTGTCAGGATTATATGACTTAGCTAGTGCCTGCCATCTGGGCGATTTCCTGACTCCAAGTCCATATGGATTTTATCATCCCTGTTTTAGAGACGAAGGTTAAGCAATGTGCCCTGAGTTACACAGCTGTGAGGGGAGAGCCAGAATTCCAACCCACGCCCCTCCTGCTTCCAAATCTGGCAGTCTTTGCGCTCCACCAAGCAGCCTCTTGGCAACAAAGACCCTCACCCCCAAAAATTATACTATGGATTAAAGGAAGCAGATAGGTACAGCTGAATGGCATCCCGGCCACCAGAAAAAAGCTGGGCCATCTGAGTGTTCAAGTCCTGCCTCACATTTACTGGAGGGAGAGAGTCACTTAACCTTCTGTCTGCCTCGGTTTCCTCATTTGTAAAATGAGAAGAGCCCCTACCTCCCCGGGTTGTTATGAGATCTAATGGGATAAGATTTGTGAAGTGCTTAGGTGCTTAGCACAGTGTCTAGGCACATAGTAATAAATATATAAATGTTAGCTGTCGTCATCATCATCATCATCATCATTGCCATATCACTTCCCTATTCACTGAATGCCACTGGCTTCTTCTTACCTCCAGGATCAAATATAAAATCCTCTGTTTGTTTGGCTTTCTTTAAAGCCTTCATCAGTCTTCTTGTACCTTCATCCTCTGTATACTCTGCTCTCCATTGACTCCTCAGGTACAGTAATCCATCTCCAGACTCCAGGCTTTTTCACTGGCTGTGTTCCATGCCTGCAGTGTTCTTCCTTCTCATCTCTGCCACCTAGATTCCCGGCCTCCTTCAAGTCCCACCTTCTGGAAAAAGCCTTTCCCAGTCCTCCTGAATCTTAGAGCCTTCCCTAATGAGATTACCCCCCAATTTATCCGGCATATATTTTCTTTTTTCATAATTATTTGCATATTGTCTCCTCCATTAGACTGTGAGCTCCTTGAGGGCAGTGGCAGTTTTTGCCTTTCTTTGTATCCCTAGGGCTTAGCACAGTAGGCTTACCACACAGCAGACACTTAATAAATAAATGCTAGAAGACTGACTGTGATTAGGGCAGAGGGCAGCAAGATAATCACCTCCTGAATTTTGGACACTAAGCTTCCCTTAATGAGACCTAAATGCATGTAAATGTCTTTGCCATATTTCACTGTAAAGATCCTCACCATATTGGCCAGGGTGATGAATTTTTTGGCCATGGCAGTTCTTCAAAGAGTATCCAGAGGAAGGTTGTGATTTGTCTTTGGGGAGCGAATGCCCACGCTGACTAAATTATAGGCCCATGAGTTATTAAGAAGTCACAATAACTTCTATTGCCCTTATAGTCTACTAAAGCCTTTGTGTTTCATGTGTGTTGATTATACCACGGAATAAGTAGGTTATAGCCACCTGGTCCTGGAAACCAGGGCTCAAGACAACGCAGAAGAATAGCCCATTCATCTGATTATCTCTGTGGCCTTGGACAGTTACTTAAAGTGGCTTGACCTTAGTTTATTTCTGTGAAGATGAGTGGGGTGAAGCCTTCATGACCTCAACTGAAGGTATTCTGTGTGTTGAAGAGAATGCTCCCGGGATGTTAGCTCCCTTCAAATATTTGAAGGACTGACACTTGGAAGAGCAGTTTAACTTGTCCTGCTTAGTCTTGGAGAGCAGAATTAGGAGGAGGAGGAGGAGAAGGAGGAGGTAAAAGCAACAATAAATAAAATTGAAGCTTGAGGTAAAGAAGTCTTGTAAACTTTTTAAGTTGTAATGAACTCCTGTGGCTGTTCATGCACTCCATCATTGGAAGTTTGAAGCTGAGGCTTGTGACTCTGCTAAAGAGAACCCTCTGCCATTATAGGTTGGACTAGATGGTCTTTAGGTCCCTTCCACCTCTGAGATTCTGTGTGTTGCAAGGGAGGAACACAGGAACCAAACCAAGGAGGAAGAGTCGGAGAGGGCAGAGGCTGAGGTCAGGATCCTGGACAGCTCAGCAGGCCCTCTCCTGGTGCCCCATGGATGGCAGAATTTGAAACCAGGTCAGCTGCCTCGTAATTCAGTGCTCTTACCCCTACACCCCCCCCCAACCTTAGGAATTTCACTTCTTAGTGTCTGAGGAAAACTGGAAGGGGTGTGGTAAGCTCTAAGCAACTCTTTTTCCGTTCTCCTACGTCTTATCAACTCTTTGTTTTCACGTCATCACAGAACTCTACCTGGAGGGAAACGCCTTATACAAGCTTCCGGATGAAGTTAGCTCCCTACATCGCCTCAAGATAATTAATTTGTCCCGGAATCAGTTCCGAGACTTCCCAGAGAAGCTCACTGCCCTGCTGGCCCTTGAGACCATCAACCTAGAAGAGAATTTCATTGTGGGTGAGTTATCCTTGAGACCACTCTGTGAGAGCAGCCGTCTCAGCATGGGAGTGATACCAGGGCTATCTTTCAGGCCCTTGCCAGGTGGTGCTGCCGAGGCAGAGAGTGTGCGAGGATCTGAACCTTCTGGCCTCCCTGCCCTCTGGCACAGATGACCTGGCCAAGCCCTTTGTCAGTGTCTCCCCCGCTCTGGCCCAGAGAGTGCGAAGCTGTGGGGCTTGTTTCATTCCTGGTACATGTATCCCCACTGCCTTGTCCCGGGCCTGGCACATGGTAGGCACTAGAATATGTGCTTGTTGACCAGTTCTTTCCCGTCTCCTACGCCTCTGTTCTTTTCTGTCCATGCTTTTAATAACAGCATTTCTCAGGTCTATAGAGCTTTGAAATGGACCCAGCCCTGTGGGGTGAGGGATAGAAAGATTAGCACCCCTATTTTAGGGATGGGGACACTGAGGATCAGGGAAGTGATCTCAGGGGGCCCCCTTAGTTGTACTGAAGTGTTTTAAGGGCTCTGACGTGGAGGAATCATTACCCTTGTGCTACTTGTCCTCAGAGGGCAGACCCAAGAGCAGTGGTTGGAAGTCCTTAGAGGCAGATTTGGGTCCAATACTAGGAACAACTTCCTAATCACTAAAGTGTCCCAAAGTACCATGGCCTGCCTTGGATGGCAGCGGCTGCTTCCTCCTCAGAGGTCTTCAGCAGACCCAAGAGGGGGACTCGTCTAGTCCATCATAGCAGAGATTCCTTTGTGGCTGCTGCAGAGGTCCTTTCTAGCCTTCAGATTTTGTATTCTGTGGGCCTTCTCAAGGTCATGCAGGTAGCAAGGTCAGAGCCAGGATTCAGACCTGGGTCCGCATTCTTGCCAAGCGGCCTCTTTAATTGTCTTAGCTTCCTCTTTAAATCAAACTAGAAATACCTCTTCCTATACTCCCCCTCAGTCCAGCCCCACAAACAAGACCCCAGGGACCCTGGAGATGGTGAAAGCAGAGGGAGGGAGTTGGAAGATGATGAGGGGCGAGCTTTCTGGAGCAGAGCTGAGAATCTCCCAGGAATTTGGGCAGGCACTATTGTTGTTATTATTGGTCTAGAACCAAAAGGGCCCCCAGAGGTCCATCTAGGTGAGGATACTGAGGCCCGGAGAGGGGAAGGGACTTGCCCCAGCTCACAGTAGTGGTAGATCTGGGATTGGAAACAAGACCGCTGGACTCCAGCCCTCTTTCCACTGCACTGCGCAGCCTCCAGACAACATCTGTAAAGCCCTTTGCCAGCCTTGAAGCACTGTGTTTTCTTGTTGTTGTTACTGCTGCTCTAGGGGTTGGGGACTTGAGAGATAATTAAGGTTTTGTGCCTTCCTTCTTGGAGCTTGTAACTGCCAACCATTACTAAGTTCGTTCTTAGAAAGACAAACACAATTAGGCTGCACGTGAGTGTTTATTTCTCTCAGAGCTTGCAGAACGTTCATATGGAGATACACGTGGGAGCTCGTTGTGCAAATGAGCCCAAGCGTGGAGAGACAAAGCAGACCTTACATCTTCAGAGCAGTTCCCTCTCACCCCTCCCTCCCTTCCTGGCTCAGGATGCCTGTGTCAGTCAAAATTATAGTCTCCATATGTGTTAACCATGATATGAGAAAGGAGTTTCTTAAGTGAATAGATTGTAAATACAATAAGATAGGAGAATGTCAAAGTGTCAGTTGAAATTATGGATCCAGGATGTCTGTGTTTCTTTTACCATTAATATGACATAATATAAAATAAGAAGAGTCCCATTATTCGAGACAATGTCTGGTTTGAGCCGCCTTGTCCTTGGTAGTCATAAACAGAAGACTGCTCCTGGTCAGCTTCATCTGGCCCTGTAGTTGCTGACACAGGAAGGGGCATTTTGAGTTCATTCAGAGAACAAAGCACAGCATGTCTGTTATGCCAGAGCATGCAAAGCATTATGGGAGGTTAAGCTCAGAGTGGGCCAAAATGTCTCTCCTGATTGGCCAATCCAGGTCTTAGGCCTTTCTCAAGTGTAGGGGGTTCAAAATGGTTTGGGGAGGTAAGGGAGGTAGAGCAAGGATTCGCTATAATACCAAACTGAATGTAAGTATATAAGAGAATCTGGACTTGGTGGCCAGAGGGCGTGTCCCATTCCTGCAGAGGCAGGAGTCAGCCATAGTCTTGGACCATCCCCAGGCACTTCTGCCATCGTTCTGTCCAGCCTCTCTCCTACCACAGGACACTGAAATTTCTTTACTTGGTCCCCATGTCAATTAGTGGGTGGTAACAGGAGGGTCTGATAGAGAGGGTAAGTGCATCCTCCTCACTGATTCACCATCTGATTCTAACAGGGGAAAAGTCTTTCCTAGTGAAGAGAGTCAGAGCAAGGGATAGAAACCCTGTCTAATCCAACCTCCATGCAGCTGCCAACATGATCTTAAAGCTCAGGTCATCCCAACCCCCCATAAATTCCAGACTTCCTGTAACTTCCAGAACCAAATACACAATTCTCTGTTTGGGACACAAAGCTCTTCATAACCTGGTTGACCCTCCCCCCTTCCCAGTCTTCTCACGCCTTACATCCCACTTCCTTCTGCAGTCCAGTGACACTGGTGCCCCTGTGTCTGCAATGCTCTCCCTCTTCATTGCACCTTCTGGCTTCCTTCCAGCCCTACCTTCTGTAGGCGCCATCCTTTTCTGATCTCCCTTCATCCTAGTACTGTTGAGGTTTAAGGGTGCTAGGACCTTGAAATTCAAGGACAAGTGACACAGGTCCTGCCTAGAATGAATTCAACCCAAGCCTTCTTTTAAAGATAAGGTTAGAATATTGGTCAGAGTGGGCGAGATTCTGAGAATCATCACTATTGGCCAGACTCTTAAGGAATCTAAGCAATTTAATGAAGGCGAGATAGACACTTATATACAGTAATCAAGGGGTGGCTAATAGCTGGAATGACTGGGGGGTAATAGAGAAGGACCCAGATGGGCTGAGTGCCCCAGGTGAACTCCAGGGAGCTGGGCCACATGGGAAAGTCCAGGGGCTTTTTCTTTTTAGGGTCCTGAACCAGGTCTTCTGACTCCAATCTTGCTCTGTCTCACCAGTCCCCTCCCCTCCTTCTGTTAGTCCTGCTCAGAATCCAAGATCTTGTAGCATGGTATAAAGTTGAGACAGATGGCGAAGCCTGGTAGAATCACCTCGCAGCTGGCCACGTGCAGAGATCATCAAGTTACAGCCGCCAACTCAAGGCTTGATGTCTCAGAGAAGTTTAAAAGCTAAGGGACGTGAGGAGTTTGGGGACAACATCTCCCTTTTCTAAATAGCTCTGTAAAAGCCAAGTGAACTGCAACATAGACACACTTACAGTGCCAGGAACTGGGGTGTCACTGTTCCCTAGTGCAGCCAAAAGAGGCCTGGATTTAGAGCCAGAGGCCCAGGTGCAAATCTCGCCTTTCCCACTTGCAATTCCTATGAGCCTGGGTAAGTGGACTAACTTCTCTGGGCTTCACTTTCCTCATCTGAAAAATAAAATGGGTGGCTGAGATGACTGGCTAAAGTCCCTTCTAGCTCTAGATCTGTGATTACATATCTCAATGTTGTTGTCAAGAATTTTATTTTTAAAAATGAGCAAGGAAATATGTTTCCCACAGTCAGGAATTCATGCAGTCCCTCAGCAGAAGCAAGTTTTGAGTAGAGGAGTGGTGTGGTCATAGCAGTGTATAGGGAGATTACTGTTCTGGAGCCCATAGGAGTTCACAAGTGTGGTGTGACCTCTGCTCTCTGATCTAGAAGAAGAGACTTTCTAATAAATAATTACAGTAGTGGTAGCAATGGCAGCTCACACTGTATGGCTTACTGAGCTTTGCACAGTCTTTAACATAGATTATCTCACTGGATCCTCACAATTACCCTGGGAGGGAGGTGCCACATAGTTGATAAGTGCCTGAAGTAGACTTTGAACTCAGATCTTCCTGACACCAAATCTGTTCTGTGTACAAGGCCACACAGGCTTCTGCAGATAGTTAAATTACAACACCAAGCAGGGCTTGGTAAAGGCTGAATGTGTGGTGTAAATAGGAATTACTATAGAGATCACCGTGGGTAGTGAGGAAAGACTTCCTGGAGGAGGAGACTTGACCTGGGCTTTGAATGATGAATAGAATTTAGATAAATGGAAAAGAGCAAAGGGTAGAGAAACATTCTAAGAATAATGAATAACTTGACCAAAAGTGATGAGCTTCTCTTCTTCAGGGAGTACTTCCCCCAAAATTCAGGGACCTGGTTCCAACCTGGCAGGAATGGGGAGGGGGCACCATAGGGCAGCTTTGCAAATAGCTGCCACCTCCCGGACCTTTCCAGGCCGGCAGCCAGGAGTCACAATCACATTCACTAAAACACCCTGAACCAAGGGTTCACAGGATTTCTAGCAGGAAGAAGCCCTAGAAAAGACCTAGTATAGGTCTTATAGAAGCCCAGAGATCAAATGAAATTTTAATCAATAGAGAAAGATTTAGGCTCAGAGCATTCAGTGTGTTAGCGCCCCCTCCCAGCTTTGTGTCATTGGCAGATTTGATAAACATGCTGCCTGTACCATAGTCAAAATGGTTGATCAATATTGTGAACAAAACAGGAATAAGTGGAGAACCTGGGGGCGCTCAGGGGGAGACGTGGCTCTAAATTGCAGAAGACATAAAGCAGTGGACTCTGAATGCCTGCTCTTTGGGTGCAGCCTTCAGGACCTCGTCACTCTGCCTTCTCAACAAGAAGAGCACAGAAGAAGACATTATCAAATGCTTTGAGAAGATCTGGGCAAAGCATGTTTACAACATTCTTGTGATCCTCCATCCAGCAGTCCTGGTGTAGGGTCCGGAATTCCCCTGCACAGGGATATTCATACGCTCCACCCCTAAATAGTGGGACAAGGTTGATATCAAAGAGACAGACTGGGAACTCCAGATTGATTGTAGGTAGTAGTTGAATCAATTAGGTTACTTACAGTGGGGCAGAATGATGGATCC